TCAGCAGGGAGACAAATGTGATGCCATTGAGAAGGCAGTGTACTTGAAAACAGAGCAACTTGCGTTCAGTATTATTAACATAGAAGGAGCATAATTCTCGGTAGTAGTCTAAGAGGTTGTTTATTTTGCCACCTTCTATCTATACAACTTTTTTGTAGCCTGCTTAAAATTATTTTTCTTCCTACCTCTGCATACACGATAGGATGCACTAATTTTTGCAAAGATTCCTGAAAGGAACAATAGAATGAGAAGGTAATACCTTGTCTTTCTCCCTCATGTGTAACTTACACCAGTGTTGGTAGCTACTATTAAATGAAACCTAGACATACTGATTATTTTGCCTAGTAAATCCTGGTTTAACTTGGGCTCCATCCTTTCTTTTAAGGTTTCTTTTAAGGTTACTTTGACTCAGTTTGTTCTGATCAAGTCATGAGGCAGTTGTGAAGTAATATTATGGCATCTATTAACTGTATGTCTGTTTTTGGTTACTACCAGTCGCTTTTGGTTACTGAATCTGAATGTTAATCATGCAGTCCTCGTTTGCTTTTACAGGGTGACTATGAGGCTGCTTTGACAATTTATGACAACTATGTGAGTAGGGGCCTTTTTTCCTTTACTGAGAATGCGCTTAAGACTGTGATATGTGCTTTCTTCCTTCTGTATGAGATTGAAACCTATCAGTGTGCCATATATGTATACATATTACTTACATCTGTTGTAACAGTTTTTTAGGGAAACTGTTCCTTGACTGGTAAAATGCCCAAAAAACTCGTGTGTTGTGTAGTTCAAGTGTTTCTTACACTTGTACTTCAAAGAGCTACAGTGGCACTGTTGGTACTGTTTTCCATTCTGTTCATGTTTCCTATTCATGCTCTGTAGGTCTAAATGCTCCTGCAGAAAAAAGCTTTTTAAAAAAGGACGTAAGATAATTTTCCTATGAAGTCAAGTTACCTTTACAAAGAACTTGTTTTCCATGTTAGCTACTAAGTCAACAAAAGCATGTCTTTTCATTCTTAGTTAATTTATTATAGTTCTTTACCCTCTGGATTTCAAAACAATCTTTGCAAGTAAGCAATATCAAACTAGATAGGATAACATATCTTTGTAAGGATCATAAAAATAATGCAAGCATTAAGAAAGCTGCTGGGCAGACTTCTATCTACTAACCTTGGCAAAGTGAAGTAATATTTATGGCGCTATTTTGGAGTTTAACTTCATAACAGGAAAAACAACACAAGTGAAGCAATGTAAGTGTCATTGCAAATTGCTGTGTTCAGGAAAGATGCCGTTAGGGCTATTACAAAGTGGGTATTTTTGAATGAATAAGAAGATAGAAAATTAATTCTGTACTGTGAAAATAAGTTTGATTATCTGAGTAAGTTCCCACTAGCACATCAGTTGGGCAGCTTATGAATACCTGTGACTACAGATTGCTCCCCGGTGTCTGTCAAGTGGAAGCATGCTGGATGTAGTAGATAGCAGTTCGATGCTCTACAGGCTTCATCTGGAAGGTAGGACATCCACCTGCCATTCTTTTTCAAAACTGTAAGGGGAACGGTTTTCTTTTTCCCTCCCCCCTTCTCCTGCCTTGCATGTTGGAAAAGTATTTAAAGATACTTATGGAGCAAGCTTGGTCAGTGTTACAGAAGAAATCTTCTGTTACAGAAGAAAATTCTGCTTTTGAGAAAAGCCTAAATGTGAAATTCATAATAATGCTGATAACCTTTATTCTTCCCAAGTGTGGGTTTGTTGGTTTTTGTTTTTTTTTTTTTTTTCCCCCTGTGCCAGTATGGTATTTCATTCAGTTCAAGCTAGCATAGGTCACAGGCTTCTTTTCTGACAAATTCACTTCCATTGTCCCCGGAGATTTGAGGCTGAACAATCAAGCACATACACCTCTCAAAAGCTGTAGAGCTTCCTTGAAGTAAGTTTCAAGTTAGAGACTTAACTTTCTATTTTGATACTGACTAAAATAGCTAGTACATGTATGTTAGCCTGTGGCTTTTGTGTACTCTCTTAACTCAGTGGCATTTCTCCTTAACTTTTTTAAGCTAGTGTTTATACACTAGAGTTCATGAAAGGGGAGACGGATGGATGGGAGGATGGATGTTATTTTCACAGTATTCTGATATAACACCAATGATGCATTGGGTTTGTGAAATCCATGTTATCACTTTGTATAATTTGATCGCTGCAGACAGTTCATTATGAACATGATCTCCAAGAAGACATGAGCAATCTCATAATAAAGCCAGAACCTCACATAATGCAATCTAGAGTATGGGTGATAAATTACTGACAGTCAATAAATTCTTTGCCCAAATACAGCAGGCTGCAGCTGAGCATTACTGTATAAATTTTGCCACATCAGGGAATGTTTTCCTGAGTTTAGTAGGAACGTTATTTATGCTGGGTGACTGAAAATATATTGCAAAGTCATGCTTTTGCATGTGGTATTTTTATTGAGAAAAATATTTTTTATTCTTAGGTGTAAAGATTGGAGACAGGTGGAACAACATTCTCAAGCTTACAAAGAAGCACACCAAAGATCACATTCTTCTCTTCAATGATGTACACATCTTGATGTCCTCACTTGGAGCCAAAGACCACAAAACTACTGATGAGCTTTTAACAACTCTTCAGGAGCTTGCCAAGTAAGTAAGTGAACTAAAGTATTGTATTTAATAAATATTTTGTCCTCTGAACTTCAGGGTGGTAATGTCTCTGGCTTGCTGAAGCACTACAACACACTCCTGTCTGCTTTAGCATGTCACTCAGGCATGTCTGGTTTAAGTAGGCCAATCTCCAGTTAGGAGATCCCTATTATTTATTTTTTGAGTTAATTTCTAGAGGGTTTCTAATCTTGGTAAGCAGAAATCTCTTATGTTTGAGGTCATGGACACTAACTGAACAGTTGCTGCATATTTCCTTTCAATAGGTTCACACTAAGCTATGTTACATACAATGAATAAAGTATTTCACCTGTATATTAGTAAGGGCATTCTACAATGTATGTCAGCTATCTATAGTGGTTCTTTTTTGCTCTGGTTTAAAAGGTTCTTTAATAATAGAGCATCAGTTCATAGTGATATTCTAATAGTTACTGTTTGATGTGTTGTGAAGTACCTCTGCAGGAAATCGAATTTCAAGTACTGCTGAAATAATAATAGAGAATGTTTTGCTTTCAAATTAAATTATTTGAAAAATTTGAATATTTAAGTATTTAATCTAAACAATGTTTTTTCCATGTTCCCTTATGTATTAAATAACTGTATATTACCTCGATTTTTTTTAAGGGGTTGATATATAGATGCTTTAAATGCAATTTCTGTCCCCCGACTACACCCTGTTTTTCCTCTGTTACAGCATCTGTTGCTTCCCTTGCCTTAAAAAAGAAGGAAAGAGAAGCTGAAATTGTCACTATTTGTTCCTGACTATAATACCCATCAATCAAAGATAATAAAAAATAAATTTAATTTTTAAGAATACTTACAGAAACAAATAACTGTCAAATCAAGCCTAAGCATGTCTGATTTGACTAAAGTAGGAAATGGTGAAGATCTTTTAAGTAAGTGTATAAATATATGTAAGTATATGTAAACTATATAAAACTGCACATGCATACCACTTCAGGGAAGCTTTAATGAACATCTGCTACTTACCCTTTCACCCAGTGCTTCCTTTTGCCTATGTGTTCCACCTTTTGTAGTAATACAGCTGTACATTTTTAGCTGTAGTTTGAAGTATTATAAAGCTTAATTTTATTATTTGAGAAAGCAGACTGTGAAAGGAAGGGATTATATTAATGATTCGATTAATGGATTAATTTGTGTTTATCACAAATACGTAATAGCTAAACAATACCTAAGATGTGTTTTGTATGTGTTAAAAAAGCAATCATAAAACTTTGGCACAAACAACAGTCATTCTTGGCTTTTCATTAATATTTTTCCCTAGACTTTGCAATTTAAAGTTGACAAGAATTTTTTTTGTAAAATTTCCATGGTGCTCTCTGATGATTGGTATCACATGCTTATTTTCATGGGTGGACATGTTAGTTAATGCAGGGGGTATGTTCTTCATGAATCAATACTTCAGATCCCTGCTCACTGCAGGGGGGTTGGGCTCGATGATCTCTCAAGGTCCCTTCCAACCCAAAGCATTCTATGATTCTATGATTCTATGATCAGGTACAAGAGAAAGGAAAAAAAAAATTCAGTCTTCCTCTGTGCATTTTCTCAGAGAGCTGGAACAAATGTTGAAATGAAGAATTGTTTCATCATTTTCATCACTGACTATCTCAAACTACTTACTTAAAATGCACATCTGTTGTGCACTTCTAACTTTCCAGGACGCCATATTTTGTTTAAGGAACGATAAACACATTGTGCAACGCTGCATACTGAAAAATCAACACTGACCTAATGGAAGAAATGGGAAATCTGTAATACTGGCTCAAGAAGGAAAGCACAGAGTATGCTCTGTGTTTGGTAAATTTAAGGTACTAGTGTCGGAGTGAGACTCTCAGTTGTCGTTGTAAGCACTCAAAAGAGAAGCCAGTGACTAAGGTTCCTCAATGTTAAAGATTTAATTGGAAAATTTACAGAAAAACCTGTTCTAAACACTAGATAGAATTTATAGCATTGAACTGTGCACTGTATTCTCAGGAATAATTTATATTGCTTGGGATAGAAAGCCCTTCTCTCCTCATATTGCCAGGCAACCTCTGGGCACTGAAATGGCACTACCTCCGAGGCCTGATGACTGTCAGCTTTTTCTGTAGCAGTGGAAAAACACAATTCCACATTGTCACATGCAGGTATTGCCTGTAGGCTGAAGAGCTACAGTTTGGTTACTTGTTTTTTGGGGGTTTTTGGGGTGTGGGTTTTTTTTTTTTATTGTCAAGGATGCCTGGTAGAATGTACATGTTCTTCTGCAGGCATATTGTGATGCTATATGTCTCTTCCACTCTTAGATGGGTTAAGATACAAGCACTAAAAAAGGAAAAAAAAAGCTTAAGAGGTAGCTAAAATCTATTGCTGTTTGTGGGCCTAAAAGCAGTCTGTCATGGTTAGAATAAAAGAGCAGACTTTGAGAGCTGTCATTGGGCATACAGTTTGTATTGCAAAGATGGCAAGGCACTGTGCTGTGTGGCGAGCTGTTTTGCAAGCTAGTAAATTTGGAGCTGTGTACAAGGGACTGATTAGCAGTTCTGGCAGAGATGAGGGACAGTCAAAGAACTAGCAGTTGGATGTTCTGGTGAGATCATCAGAAGAGAAACTGTGAAGTTTTCTCACTTTTCTAGCCAAAACTGTTCATTGCAAAGGCAAGGAGGGGTTTGGCTTCTGCCTTTTGTGGATATATTCAGAAAAATGAAAACTGATTGATTGATGAGTAACAAAAAGGTGAAAGTAATGTAACCACACCAAAAGATATTATCTAAATAAAGTACCTGAAACATCAGGCTTTGTACAGTAGAAAAAAATTCTGTCTGCAGGTAGTGACAGACTGGCACTGAAATATGCATATTTGTAATTTGACTTATGGGAGTTAACCACTTTCTCATTCTGCAGAGCACCTTGTGAAGACCATGAGCTTTCCCTGGCTCCTAGTTTGGGGTTGCCACTGTGCCAGGCTTTTGTAGAGTTTGAAAATGGAAATTGCGACAAAGCTGTAGACCTGCTGTACCCAATCCGTTATCAGCTAATCCAACTAGGAGGCAGTAATGCTCAGGTAAAGGAGACCAATAACAGACTTTTTGATGTGACTTAATCTGCTTTCAGTAGCATCCATTAGGCACTTACATTATTAACAACACTTCATTCTTAGAAAGTGAAAAGCTAAACTGTGCTTGTGACTGAATCCTGTTTGCAAACACTTATTAGCAGTGTTAGCTATGTAATTTTTCTGATATGTTGTCGTGGTTTAGCCCCAGCCAGCAGCTAAGCACCACGCAGCCGCTTGCTCACTCCCCTTGCCCCCATGGGATGAGGGAGAGAATCGGAGGAGTAAGAGTGAGAAAACTTCTAGGGTTGAGATAAGAACAGTTTAACAATTGAAAAGAAAGTAAAATAGTAATGGTAATAATAACAATGTAATAATAATAATAATATACAGAGCAAGTGATCAGTGATCAGTGTGTTATCAACATTATTCTCATACTAAATCCAAATCATAGCACTATGCCTGCTACTAGGAAGAAAATTAACTCTATTCCAGCCAAAACCAGGATATATGTTTCCTTTTTCAGTGGTTTTAATGCTTTGGTAAACAAGACGTTGTAACCAGCCATACTTTATAAGTTACTTATTACTTTGCATTTTTGCTGACTTTTTTTTTTTTTTTTTCAGAGAGATGTTTTCAGCCAGTTATTGATCCATGCTGCTTTAAACTCTAAATCACAAGCCAAACAAAACCTTGCAAGGTGAGTATTTTTCCTGATAAGTATTTGTGGAAGTAGTACTGTTACTAAAAGTAAGAAGCAGTGACTATACTCAAACCAATAAATTAAGGCTAAAACTATATGCAAGTATTTCTGTTAAATGTAACAACATTTAACTAGGATAAAAAGTACAATAGCTTCCAATTCCAAAAGTACACTCTTGCAGTCTTGATGAATGATCTGAATTCGTTCAAGGATGGTTGATTTTTCAAATGGTTCCATCTTAAAATGTGGCCTCCTGCCTGTTGATAAGTGTACTTAACGGACTGCTAAACTTCTGTGAACTGCTGAAAATCAAATCTGTCCTAATGATGACATACATCTGCTTTATTGGGAAATAAGATTTGCAGAATCTGATATGTGAACTTAACCTTAGTACAAATCACAAGAGCCTTGTTTGGTAGAAATCATAGATGTTGCTTATTCACCCATATTGAGTTCTGCTGAAATGTATTGACTGGGTCTGCCTGTGCACTTAAAAGAGTGGATCCTTGGGACAGTATGAAGCCTTGCCTGTTCCCCTCCTGAGGTCTCTTTCGAAACATAAAAATTAGATACACTATCAAAGTGATTCTTCTGTGCATTCTGATCTCTGGGTGCTCATTTTCAGTCTCTGTCAGTGCTGAAAACAATGCTGTTCTGCCTAAACTTACTGCCAAAGCCAAATGTTTCCAATAAAGGAAATCTGCACCTCAAGAGCAGGTCTTTGTCTGCTGTTTTCCTCCTCTTACAAGGACACTGCTGGTGATCTTACAGGAAAACTAATGATGTACTCATGACCTTCCTGTTTCTCTCCTACCTTTTCTCCTTTCTCAGGTGCCTCCTGAGAGAACGTGATGAGATAAGACCAAATTCACCAATGACGGAACGACTTATTAGGAAGGCAGCAGCCGTTCATTCAGTGGCATAAGTCTTTCCTCTGTGCTTCAGCTAAAATAGCAATAAGCTTACGAATTAAAGTCTGGGTGCAGGGAGTGGAGGGGTGCTATGCTGTAAACCATGCTAGAGATTCACAGTAGGTAAGAGTACCCTATGAGTCAGAGATCTGACGATGATTTCCTTAAAAAATATATACAGCTGTAGCATTTCGGGAGGTTGTATCTTAGATGATTTCACAAGGAAAGAAGATAACCTGCTGATAATGCACAGCTTTCTGAAGCATCCTGGGACATTGCTTTTCTGGTATATTTTCCTGAAAGTTCCCTCTGACTCTGATTATATGCAGTACAGTAAGAGTGCCTGGATTTCAGTCATTCATTGGCCCAATTTGTTACTTCGTTAATATGTTAAATAATCAGTAAACTGCTCAGGTAATTCAAATGGACCTTTTAAACACAGCTAATAGGAAAGTACGGGGCCAGAGCCAATACAGGCATAAACTGAATTCCGTATCAAGCTTCCAGTCAGTTCAGGCATGAGTCACAGACTCTGGCATTACAGATCTGTTTGCATGCAGGATCTCTTTCCAGGTGTGTATTTTTAAACTCCCTCTCATAAAATGTTAAAGTTTTTCCTTTCAATGTAGCACATTAGAGCTTTCTGAAATTACTGTGTGAAAGAAACCAGGCAAGAGGGATAATAGCTGACTGCGACTATTCTTACATGGGTACTCCCTTGGCACTTTTAAATCTTTCAGAAAAAAAGAAAAAAGCCTGCATTTCAGCTAAAACAGTACCATCTCTGAATGATAGTTTGGACTGGCGTCTTTGTGCTTACCTGAGCTTTTGGAAAGTCAGCCCTTGCTACCGTCTCAATAGCACAAGTCCCTACACATTAGCAAAGTAGAGTTTAAAACCAGCGTTAAAGTGCACACTTTATAGAGGTATCTCAGAGCATGTGAAGACTGGAAGGGAGCTTCCATCACAGAAAGAGAGCTAAGGGGAACTGACACAAAGCGCTGTCCCGGCACAAGTGATGTGACAAGCTTTGGTGCTGCAAATGAGGCACGGTATGAGCCACGGACCTCTGTGAAGTTCCGGTGCCTCTGGATTCCTGCAGCATAGCAGAGGTAACAGGTTGCCTTGCACTAGTAATCCAGAAATTCCTAATGAAGGGAAAGATGATACTTCAAACCGAAAGAGAACTGTTGCCTCTTCTTCTTCCCGAACAGAAATGCCACGCTCCTGAACTGCCCGAGCTCTGGCTTTGGTATCACATCTGCATGCCTGCCTCTGCTTCCTGTCCAGCTTGGGCTATTCCCCATGTCCCGCAGCAGCCCCATCCCACGTACAGTTTACTTTTGACCTAAAAAAGCGCTTTCACAGCTGGCCATGCACTGCCCCTGGAGTTCCTGCATAGAGGAATAAGATGGGGAAGTGCCTTGCTGCCACCCTTCTTCCCTAGCCCTCACTTGAGGAAAAAATAGTTTATTTTCAAATCAATGATAATTTGTGAAACCAGATAAGGGTATTGCATGCTTGCCTGCAGCCTTTTGAATCCTTCAGACAGTTGTAGTTCCCTGTTCTTCAGCTTCATCACTGCTTTGTCTGTCCGGCCATGACTGTGATTGGCTCACTCTGTGCTAAAGTTATACATGATTTTTACTATTATTTTTAATCAGTGCATTTCAAGCAATGACGTTAGATAACTTCTTACTCAAGGAATATAACAAATCTTATTAGGGAAAAAAAGCCTGAGAAATCTGCTGGCTGGCTATGAAGTGTGTAGTTTATGTGATTCCTTGCTACACAAATGTAAGAATATTTGTAGTACTTTTGATATAATGTGATTGAGAATTTTGTCTGCTTTACATAAATAAATTCAAAGATGTGCTCAGTTGAGCAGCAACTATATGACTTCTTTGCATGTATGGATGAAGCTTTTAAATAGGTTATTCAGCTTAATTTCATAAACCTGTAACAGTATGCGTCCTCTTTGCTTCCATGACCGTGACTAGACACTTTTTCATTCAACTAGTACTACACATTTTGCCCATAAATGAGAACTTCTGGTTTTCTGCCTTACTTTCCCCTTATTTTTATCTGAAATACTCGAACCATTCTGTCTTGCTTTGCCATGCCATGCTGAATCATTTTCGATTACTGTTATGGAAAATAATTAACAAGCAGGTAGCTCAGTGGGAAGAACAATAGGAGAGGAAGAACAAGCAGAGGAAGAACTTGACCAAGGACCATGCTGACTCCTAAAAGCTCACCTTTTTATATCTAAGTAGAGCAGTTGAAAAGGAGTTGATACAAGCTTTATATAAACATCTGCTGCTTACAAAAGAGATACTGGTTTTGCACAGGTTATGCAAACACATCCATCCCTCGCAGCCTCCTTGGCACTTCGTTTTCTGGATTAAGAGGGGCAGCAATACTCCTTTGTGCTGTGCATCAGAATTTGAGCCTGGGCAGTAACTCCCCTGCCAGCATTACATCAGGAAACATCTACTTTTAACTTTGATGGTATTATTCATGATCCCCAGAGTGGCTGCAAGGCCAATACCCCCTCTTTACAAGCCTTTTCTGAACTGCTTTCTTAGTCATCTGTGCTGAGACCATGTACACCATCACCTCAGTTACCCCTACAGCTTCTTCAGCGTTAGCTGTTTCTTGTAGCTCAATGCAATAAAACAGGGAGCTGGCGATGTTCTGTTGGACTCCACTACTGTCAGACCTGGTGCTGGCAGTTATTCGTAACGATTCTGTTAACATCAAGCAAGCTGAACCAAAAGGTTCTTTAGAAAATCTTTGCTACAGTGGGTCTAGCTTTTAGGACCCATTAAAAGAATTGTTAAAGACCTGTCTGGTTTAGACTGGTAGTGCTGTTAAGCTGTACTAAGACCTAGTGTGATGATTTGTGGTAGGTATATATAGGTGACTGCTGTGAAAGCACAACTGTCACCCATCATCTAAGGCCTTGCCTAGGCTCCTGCCACTTGACCCCAAAGCCCTCCAGTACTACAGCTTCTTGGGTTTGTTGGTGAAGAAAGCGTATCACAGCATCAGTGGTATCGTGACAAACTATCGTAGCAGGTACATTGGTTTCGAGTAATTTTTTGTTTGTTTGTTTGCAAATCAAGACCACATTTATTAACCCAGGGTGAAGCATGGTTTTTTTAAACAAGTTTTCAACCCATGTTTTCCTGATGAAGGCATACATACAGCTTTTTTCAAAAACAAAATAAAGGCCTTGGTCAGCTGCAGGAACCTCTGCAAGTGATAGCTTCTTTAACTCCTTTGTATGCATAGCTACTGACCAAGACCTTTCGAGAGGGTATCATGCCTACCTGTGTACAGCCACCATGCAGTCTCACAGGCCACGACAACACTTGGCATTGGTGAATGGGCTTGTTCTGAGGCCTCGAGTCTTCTTCCTGAAAAATGGCATTGCACTTGTCTTGCAGACTCCCACTCGCAGCTGCCCTGTCTTGGAGATGCAAGAACCCAAAGAGCAGCTGTGCCAGAGGGCTGCACGTTCACAGCTTTCACTGCTTCAGAGCTGTTGCCAGCGTAGCATCTTTTTTTTTGCAGAGGCTTAAATGTGCCAAGAAGCAAACCAAAGCCCTAGAGCCTTGGGAAACTGTTCACGCTATTCCATTTCACAGATACCTCGCAACACTCTCCATCTTAATACCTGAAGGCTGTTGGGCGGGGTGGAGGGAGGAGACACAACTAACCAAGCTGCTGACCAGCTGACTGCTAGGATTCCATCTGGCTTCATTGTAAGCAAACTTGCTGGTTGGCACCCCAGCTCACAGGGGTAGACCAGAAAAAATCGTATTCAGAGGTAAAATGCAACAAACTTGCTAAGATTTTTTTTTTTTTTTAAATAAAAAATTTACAGTGCTCATAACGCATTCTGTGGTGCTGTTCTCTCAATGCTTTCTGTGTCTTGAAACACGAGAGGTAGTTATTCCCTCAGTTTAAAGACGGGAACAAAAAGAAGGCATCCAGAAGTTAAGAGCAGCAGTATCTGCGCTCATGAAGAGCCCTGGTAATGCTGTGCCTAAAAGAAGGTGGTTACTGGATTAAACACAGAGTGTGCCCTTAGCAAATGCATTTTTAGCCTTTTCTGAACAAACTTCTTCTGCACCTCTTGGATTCCCTGAAAGCCATTAATCAGACTGTAATATAAGGCTAGTGAATGAGGTGGTAGATATGGCAGGGCAGTCAATAACCTGCTTTTAGCCAATCCAGAAATTCAAGAAAAGCATCAGCAGTGACAAATCGAAGTGCTATTGTTACACGGTTATTATTTCAGACAAAAACATGGCCCACAAGTGGCAGTCTCAATAGGCAGTGCTAGGATTGCCAGAAGAAAAAAGCAAATACAGCTTCTGCTCAGTCACTAGGAATGAAAAAAATTACTTCCAAAATTCTGTTGGTTATCATGAAAACACACTCTTACCTTGAAGCTGGCTCGTTGCAGCAAGGACTGGAACCATAATTCAGCCCAGTGGTTACACAGCTGCCACACAAGGCATTGCTCCTTTCCTCTCACACGCAATGCCTTTTACTAAGCTCAAAGGGCAAAGGATTACTGCCAGCCTGTGGCATGCACGACAGTTCTCTTGCAAGGTGTTTTTTCTTGGTGTCACTCAGGAAGAGGCTGAGGTGCCAGTAGGAGTGAGACCCGGGTTTTTTTTTCCTTCATGCTCCATCCTCCTGCATTCAGAGTATGGTTTTTTTTCTAGCTTTCTTCCCTCTTCAGCTCAGTTACCCAGACTGAAGTTCCTGTCTTCCTTCCTTCCTTCCCCAGAGCGGCTCTCACCTACACTCCAGCCCCCCCACCAATTAAATAGCCAATATCCTGTGCAGAAGAGAGTTGTACCCCCATCCGGCAGCATTTCTTGCCAGACTGATGGAAGTGCAGTTTTGACAATGATGTGAAACACAAGCACTGGAGTTCCCATTCCTTCCCTTGTCCCTCCTCTAGATTTTGTGATTTGGACTGATGTTGTCAGCATTGCACTGGCATTCTCCATGGACTTGCCTCTCTTCTTGCTTACAGGTGTGGGGGGAAGTGCAGCACTGGGTCTTACAGGTGTTTAGGTCAGATTCTTTAAAAGTTACTCATCTAGATACTTTTTGTATCTAGATACTTTGTAAAATACTTTGTATTTTGATACTTTTGATGTACTCATCAAAAAAGTATATCCTTTGAATAAGTCAATACCTGACTACTACATATTAGAACCAGTAGTTCTGCTACTACTTCACCTTAGTCTTTCCCCCCTTTTTTAGGACTTTAACAGCTGCTCAGAGCAGCTGTTTAATTACATGGAATCCAACCAAACTTCCACAGCACTTACTTAATATTAAGGATATGTTAGTTAGGAAGTTCATTTACAGAAATGTTCTCCATGAATCAGACTGCATTCTATCCTTCATACTTAGCTAAGCATCTGCAGTAAAACGCAAAACTACATCCATGCAGTGTCCCCGGTTTAGAAACACAGCTGAAAGACACTGAGCACATGTATTAAGTGTCTAGTTCACTAGGTCTGTTTAGATGTGCCATAAGTTTATGTATGGAGACAAACTGCACACTAACAAGCAAAAAGTGAGTGAAAACACATTTTATTGGCAAATATGGCAAAACTCAATGATTCAGGAACTCTACAGGCAAGCAAAAGTGAGAGAGATGTTAAAAAGTGGTAAAATCTTCCCCTTTAATGCACTACTGACGCATGTTTTCATTTAGTTCTAAGGCAGTAATTTTAATAAGATTTCCTAGTTGTATATATTTCTCCATCCTCTTGGTAACTTGCAAACTTTGAGTAGTACATGTGGTTGACAGATTTGTATCGAAGATGCAAATAACTGGGAAGCTATTTGTGTTACTGTAAAGCTTATTTGAAAGCAAAAATTACTGCTCCTCCATCCTCGGCAACAGTTCCCCTCTTAACAGCTAGACTGCCTGAATAAGACATCTTTGTACAGAGGGTCTTCAGTTCAATTAACTTACAAACTCCCTGTTAAAATTCAGTAGAAACTCTATACGAGTTTCTGTATTTTCTTTTGGGGACAATAAAAAGCATGTAGCTTAATAAAAAAGGGCTTTACCACCATTAGTAGGGTTGTACATCGCTGACAGAGACAAAGCAAGTTTATCAAAAGCAGACCCAGGGAAGCAGTATCCAGGATCACCCACAGCTACCTCAAAACACAAAGAGGAACTACACTTGTCAGCGAGTTCTCAGCGAGTTGCCCAAAGCAATGTGGGCAACAGAACACGTATACGAAGCGTCTTAGGACAGCGGTTCTACCACTGGCCTCGAGAGAACGTACTGGTCTCTTCCAGTCATGTCATATTTCTGGAAAAACGAAAATTAACGTATACAAATAGGACAGAAAATATCAATGCTTAAGATGTTTCTCCTGTCCTATAGCTAAGCAAACGTTGATATTGAGAAAATACGTGGCCACATTCACTTGAATGCCTGGCTCATTGTGACACAGCTTTTATGTACTTACGGCCATTAGTTGCAGCCAAACCACCAAATTTTAGTACCTGCTCATTCATAGGTTGTGACTTGCACAGTTTCACTTGAGCTCTATTTTTGTATAGGCCACACAGCAAGTTACTGCAGATCCGCAAGAAGAATCTGATCCAATGATTTTCTGATCCGAACAGTGGCTGCCATTGTACAGATGAAACTTCTCCACTTGAGAACTTACGACACTGATTTAAAAGAAGCTTTTTATTTTTTTGTTTTACTATTTTAAACGTGAAACTAGTATCAGCACTTTGAAAACTAAGTCATCCTTACGTACACCGACTTGTTTAGAATTCAAGAACAGCCGTATTCTGCAGTGAAAAGAATCTTTGACTACTAAAAACTAGAGTTTGCTTAAAAACTACTGTACTGCTGATTTTTCTCTTAACTGAACTGTTTGCAAAGAGAAATCCTCTCTACTCTATTTCTAAGAAAATGCCTTTACAATTATTTCCCCACAGAAGTCATAACATTCGATTTCCCATCCTGTGATTCTGATTTTTCTGCTACAGTTATCCAAACTCTATGCT